ACTTGCCAAACATCAGAGAGACAGCAAGCTGTGGAGTTATGATGGCAGGCATTAAATTTAAATTAAATTTGAAATGCAGTTTAATTCTAGAACCTTCACTCTTCACATTTATTTGGACTTTCTATTACCTACAGAGATACTTCTCCAATTAGTAATACCTAAAAATTACATGTAGCCAGGCAACCCTCTCTCCCCTCCCTCTTCGAGAGCTTTGTACTATCGCTCAATAAACTTTGCTTTGCTGCCACCAAACAAAAACAAAAAAAACATGTAGCCATAGCTATATACATATTCATAAGGCCATATATATCTCAAAGCATAAAGTCAGTTTTCATTCAGAATTTGACCTCACAGCCCCAGAGGAAAATTCTTCTTTCTAATTGGGTAAACTAAGATAAGCTATTAAAACATCCAGACAGAAATATTTTAAATGTTGAAAATTTCAATGAAAAGACAGACATAAGCAACAACAACGAAAGACCCATAATCCTCAAAAAAGGGCCCGAAAGGAATGGGAATGAAAAGGGAGGAAGGAAAACATTTCAAACTGTATACCTTTTTGTACTATTTTGTACAAATAGTAGTTTGAATTTTTTTTCCTCACTGAGGCATATTATTTGCACATACGTATTACATCCCTAGAAAAAGAATCCCAGGACTTTCCCCCGTGTGTCTTTGTCTTGCTTCTTCATGGTCCATGATGCCAGCTAAGGTTTTTTCAGCGCAGTAAAACGAAGTTGGTGGGATGGGAGCAGATTATTCTGCCATTTTTCTAGATCTCTGAGTTGTATATCAAATCTGGGGCTGATTGCTCCATACTTGGTTAACCTGTCCATGAGGTTCATTAGAATTTTCCCAGCTTTGTAATCATCAATAATTTCAAATTCGCCAATATAACCATGCTTCATCATCACAGTTAGAAACTGAACAATGACTCTGGAGCGTGGCCTAGTAAGAATTTGGTGTTTGCCTCTCTTTCTGGCACTATGGGGCTTTTTTCGTTTTTTGTTTGTTTGTTTTGACATTGTTAATGCTCTTGAGAGCATGTGCCAAGACATTCATGAGCACCATTATGGCAGCATTGAAAGATGGCAGAAAGAGTACTATTTGTGTTTTTTAAATCATGCCCATGTATTTGGCTATTAACTTTAAAAAAAACAGTTAATGAGCGGTGCCTGGGTGGCTCAGTTGCTTAAGCGTCTGCCTTTGACTCAGATCATGATCCCAGGGTCCTGGGATCGAGCCCCGCATCGGGCTCCCTGCTCAGTGGGGAGCCTGCTTCTCCCTCTTCCGCTCCCCCTGCTTCTGCGCTTGCTCTCTCTCTCTCTGTCAATTTTAGTATATGTGCTGCCAAAGCGAGCACTCTCTCTCTGTCAAATAAATAAATAAAATCTTTAAGAACAAAACCAAAAAACGGTTAGGGGAAGTACAGATTCACACAAGTTTGTAACAGAAAACGAGGGGAATAAAAGGAAATAAACATACAGAAGAAATTTACTGAATAACAGCAGTCTAATCAAGAATTGTAAAAATCATATTCTAAGTGAATTCTTCATAGTTGTAAAGAAGAATATGGCAAAATGAAAATTAAAAGGGGATCTTAGAGCCCTACCTTAAAACTTAGACCAAACTAAATTTCAAACGAATCAAAGATTTAAACATCTAAAAAATCCATAAAGTACTAAAAGAAAATATGAAGAATACTTATTAACTTCAGAATAGAGAAGGCCTTTTCTAAATATAAAATCCAGAAAACATAAAAGACTGCCAAATTAGACTACATAAACATAAAATATTTATGCATGCAAAAAAAAGGTAAAAGTACTTAAAGTATAAAAAAAGAGCAACAAGCAAAAAATAATTGCAACCTGTACCACCAACAATGGACTAAAAAGACCAAAGTTGGGGCGCCTGGGTGGCTCAGTCGCTTAAGTGTCTGCCTCCAGCTCAGGTCATGAGCCCAGGGTCCTGGGATGGAGCCCCATGTGGGGCTCCCTGCTCGGCAGGGAGCCTGCTTCTCTCTCTCCCTGTGCCCCTCCCCTCTTCTTGTTTTCTCTCTCCCTCTCTGTCAAATAAATAAATAAAATCTTAAAAAAAAAAAAGACCAAAGTTCCTCCAACTATATACACAAAGGGTAAATAAATGCCAGAGTTCACAGAAAACTCCACTAACTCCATAATATATATAAAGATGGTTAATTTCACTCATAGAGACTACAAATTAAAATTCCAATGAGATATTATTATCTTTTGGGTGAACAAGGGTCAAAATGTTAGATAACACTATATTAAGTAAAGTGTATGAACACACGTTCTCCACATTTAGAGGTACAAATCAATTTAAACTCTGTAAGTCAATTATGGCAAAATCTTTTAAAATTTCAAATAAGTAAACACCTGACTCTGCCTCAACAATTAACCTGTAGGTATTTATGCTACACATAATCACAGGGGAACAAGATTATATACAGAAATATTTATATCATTTGTGGTAACAAAAGAGTAAACAACTTAAATGTCCATCAACAGACTTAATGTTTTGCTACATCCAATAACGGAATAGCATACAGGTATAGATAGGAAGCCTTATATGTACTAGGTAGAATAAAACCCATTCTTTGTAATCAAGAAAAGACATACTATTATATGGAAAAAAATAAATGGAAAAGGTATGGAATAGTTTGCACAGTATGCTTAATAATGTGTGAAAAGAAAAAAATACACATACACATAAATTTGTAAACTATGTAATATCTCTGGGAGGATATACAAGAAACTGGCTTACTGTGGTTGCCTATAGGAAGGGCGAATGAGGAATAGGAAAAGGATTTATTTTTACTATATACTTTAAAAATTTTTGTACTATGTGCATGCATTTACCATTCAAATAAATAAGCTCTTAAAGAACAGACACTAGATACATGGTTATGTGGGAAAATGTCCTTATTTTCTGGAAATTCAAACAAATATTCAGAATTAAGATACCTATAATTCATTTTATAATACTTTAAAAGATGAAACAAAAATGGAAAAATGAAAATTGCTATAATCAATAAATCTAGCCAACATGTATATGGGAGTGTCGTTACACTATTATTTTAATTTTCTATACCCTTGTCATTTTTCATAATAAAAGTAAAAAAAAAGAAATTCTTTTACCTAACTCAGACAAGTAATGTCGTTTACCTGAAAAAAGTTCTTATTAACATAGGAAAACACCTTTAAAAGTTATATAATTTAAGCATTTTAGGTTAACATAAAACAGAAGTGTTACCTTCCTTCACCAATCTTTGGATCTGATGCCACAGCCTTACCTTTATTAGGAATCCATGGAAAACAGTTCCATTTCATCCTACTCACATAAACCATTTCTACTTTTGGCGTATTTAAAATACAAACATCTGAGTGCAAAAAAAAATTACCCTTCAACGATGTTCCCCAAACTTTTATTGTTATCCCACAGCTAAATGACAACTTTTTAATAATTCCACTCTGAGTTTTTCCAAAGCAATCAACTTAATCAACTACTCTTTTCATATTGATATTTCATCTGTTTATATATTTCACTAAATTATGCAACTACAAAAACTGAACCGGAAACAACATAAATGACTCTTGGTAAGCAAGCACTTCAAATGGTGGTACAAGCTCACATGTGTATTAGAGAACAGTCTTTTTTTTTTTTTTTTTGATTTTATTTATTTGACAGAGAGAGACACAGCGAGAGAGAGAGAACACAAGCAGGGGGGGTGGGAGAGGGAGAAGCAGGCTTCCCGCGGAGCAGGGAGCCCGATGCGGGGCTCGATCCCAGGACCCTG